CTTTGAAGTCTGCCTTTTCCTCCTCGAGAAGGATACATTTCTCTTCTGATCAATTGCCTTTGACTTTCACTAACACCAGAACCAACAGATTTCTGTTGACTTTCTTCGATTGTTGGTCGGACTGTTTGATCTACTTTGTCATTTTATCCTTTTATTTTGCCTCTCGATCTTCTTTATTTGTTCTAATTTGAAAGCTTTAGCAGCCGATTTATCGAACACCGCACTGCATCGTGGGCATAACGACACATCTTCGTCTTTTTCTTTCTTCCTATTCAAAAACTCAACTAGGGAATCCCCTGATCGAGGGTAGATCTCTTTTTCGAACTCCTTCTCGAATTCACTCAGATCGAATTCCATATCTTCTTCAGACACGTCCATTCTAACATGTTTAGGATCAATGTCTTCAGTAACATCGACCATGCCTATAAAGGCAGAATTCATCATTCGGACATCTTCAGTCATGCCCGTTTGGGATTCAATATACCCCACTTGTACTTCGAATGGACTTGTGTCCACTTTCATTGACATCTCTTCAAATTTTAGTCTTCCTTGGTCAATCGCATCCTGGATCATATTCCTGAAATGTATGCAATTGTTAGTCCAATGTCCAAAAATATTATGAAATTTACAATATTTTCGACCATTCCTTTGTTCTGCCGAAGGCAGTTTATGATCTTCGCTCAACTTAATTTGTTTGTCTTTTAACAAAACATCGAAGATTTTATCAGCTTTCGTCACATCGAAAGTATATGTTCGATTTGTCATTTTATCTTTCACTTCATTCTTTTGTAGCAGTTTACAGATATATGGAGCTCCTACTTTGAGTTCTGCTATATTTACTTTCTCATCGACAGTCTCTTCCACCTCATCCTCTGTCGTGGGCTCTGTTTCATACACATCATTTATATATGCTACTCTTTCTTTTTTCAAGGGTTTCTCAAATTTCTTATATCTTTGTTTTTCATACTCAATTTGTTCTACTCTTCTCACTTTATCAGCTAACTGAGCCATATCATTCAATGGTAAATTGACCAACTTTTTCCTAATCGAGAATTCTAAACCTGCAGAGGTCATTCTAACTAATTCGTATTCAGGAATTTGAGTAAAACATCTTGATTTCATTTGTCTAAATCGATTCAAATAATCATATATACTTTCATGATTGTATCGTTTTATGTTCATCAAATCGATTAGACTTACTTGAGTCTCTCCTCTAAAGAATTGTTCATGAAAATTTCTCTCTAACTGCAACCAATTATATATCGAATTGGGCGGTAACGAAGTGAACCAAGTAAAAGCATTCTTAGTCAAAGAACTAGGAAAATATTTCATCTTTAATTCTTCACTCATCGCTAAATCCCCGCATTCGATCTGATATCGAGCTACATGCTCGATAGCCGATTCACCAACTTCTCCAGCAAATTTAGTGAATTTGGGCACTTTGTATCGTCGAGGTAATTCCGTCTCGAGAATCGCATTGGGGAAAGGTGACACAAAATATGTCTGATTGGGTGGTCTAAATTTCATCCCTTGTAAATTCATCCTTTGTCCTAACATGTTATTCTGATTGCGTATATTTTGAAATCCTTCGTTCAAATTCCCATATGGGTCATTCCTCACATGTTGGTACTCATTTCCCCTATGTTGATGTTGATCATTGTTTCTATTCCTTCTCAATAGATACGGGGGATTATTAGTAGCATGATTTTCTACCCTCGTTTGTCGAGGTATAGCCAATGCATCCCCGATTCGTGACATTTGGTCCGCTAATATCTCAAAACTAGCATTAGTGTTTTGCACTAATGGATTTAGGACTGTGGTCAACTGTTGTGATAACATATTCACCATTTCAAAATTACTCTCATCCATTTGTTGTCTAAGTACCCCTAATGAATTACTAGATATTCTGGTACCCGTGTTTTCAATAGAATCAAAATTAGATCGATGATAGTCTCTATCGAATACATGTCTCCCATGCTCTAAGTTTCCCCTATGATCTAGATTTGGAGATATCCATTGTGTGCCTACATTCCGTCCACTCCCGTGCTGGGGATTACTAAGTTTTGAGATGTCCCTAAATTCGGAGGAATTCCAAAATTTTGCGGCATACCTAGTGTTTGGGACATTCCTAAGTTATATCTCGAATTCCTATGCGCTGAAGAAGTTTCAGTCCCACTTACACTATTAAGTGAAAACCCGGGCGGTCTTACACTCATACGTGGCCCTACATATGTAGTTGTGGGATTTCCTATAGTTTGCATATTATTTGGTGCAACCACACTAGATCCTATTTGAGTATTCGCTAAAATGCCTGAATTTTGTTCATTACTCACGGGTATCGACATACTTACAGTTGTCGATACTACAGGCGTGTTCCTATTATGGCTTTGCCCCCCAGTATTTGGTGGGTGTGACCCATTTAATCCCTCACTGTTACTCTGGTTACTTGATGAACTGTGACTCATGACTCTCCCACTCCTTAATCTCATACACTCTCGAACTAACCAATTTTGTGTTTCTCAACACAAGATCCCCCTACCTGGCGCGCCAATTTGTTTCTGGTTGAATTTCGATCGATTTCGATTCTAGATAGTGTTATGGTCCTAATCGAAATTCTCCCACGTAAGTTCTTTTTACTTAGGCTAGCAGTCTGACTTTCAATCGAAAACGTGTATGAGGATCGAAAATCACGAGATATCAAAAAAGCTGTTTTTGGTATTTTGTATTTAAAGTACTGAGAGCAGTAAAGTATCGAATCGAAAAACAGAACATTAAATTGCAAGAAAATATAAAGTGCGAAAAACCCAAATTTGCATTAATTGTAAATGACAAGGAATCGAAAATAGTGCAAATATAAATGGCAGGAAATCGAAATGTGCAGGGAATGTAAATGGCAATAAATCGAGATTTGCAGAATGTGACACGACATGGAAGCTTAAATGCAGAAACTTAATCTTTCATTGAATTGAAATGACAAGGAATCGAAAATACAGAAACATAAAACTGCTGAATTTAAATTGCATCAAAGCAAATTACCAAGGAAAATACAGAAAGCGGTAAATGTATTCAGTGAGCAAGGAAATCCAGATTGCCAGAAGCTTCATGGTGTTCGTCGTTTCTCCGGTAGACTTTTCACTACCGATTCTCGTTCTCCGCCAATTTCGCCCCTCTTTCCGTCATTCTTTGCTCTATTTATAGGACATCGTTCAAGCTTTCCGAAGCGGTTAACAAGGCTGCTACCACGTTCTACGTGCATATGACGAGTTTACCTTCCACGTGCCTCCCACGTTCTCACGATCCTCGACTCCTTCCTCGTTTCGAACCGCTCTCTATACGTGCGTTTGACTTATTCTTCTTTTCATGGTTTGGCGGAATTTTGATGTCCACATTGGCTTTCTTCACTCTCGATTTTGTATTTTTGAGAACTTTAATTTGCTTATGATTCCTTTTTGACCTTGGTCTCATATGACTTAGTTTTTATTCGATAACAGGCCTTTGGCTACCATTTACTCGATTCTCGATTGTACTTCTCGATGCTACGTGCTTCTAATCAGACATCGATTTTGTTTATCTTATCGAGTCACATTTTCGATTGCTTTTCTCGATTTGCCACTAACAGTGTCTCAATTATTTGAGTATTTATTAGGAAAATTCTGCCTTAAAAATATATATAATTTGAAAGAATCTACAAATATTGGGCCACCACCAAAACAAGTTCATAAAACTCATCGGGCCACGACCCAATTTGACACAACAAATGTTTGTTTGTTTCTTCGTGCGTATCTACAATTTTTTCTTTATTTTCATAATTAAAATAAATCTTATTTTACTTTTTATTAAAATAATTAAATTTCTGGAACTGATGTTTGAATTGATTGTTATGAAAATATAATTCAAATTGACTGTAATAAAATACATTCATGGATGGACGGTTACATAAATATATTTTAGATTAGATGTTTTAGAATGCATTTCTAAAATAATTAAATTAAAAATATATTTTAAAATATTTAATTTAAAATACGTCTTCAAAACATTCATTCTGGAAAACACTTTGAAATATTCAATTCCAAATATATTTTTTATTAATTTTTTTAAAAATGTATTTTTAGAATATTTCAGAACATTTATTTTCGAATATATTTTCAAATTCACTCTTCCAAAACTCCATTTGGAATAAGTATTCTGGAACTCATTCTCAAGTTCAAAAATGTGTTTTAAATTAAATAGTTTGGATCCATAAATTCACCTTCAGTCCAGTTTTCATCTAACAAGTACAAAACAGGTGAAATTACAACAAAAATTATAGAGATGCAGAGAAGCCAAACATAAAAAAAAACTTTTAAGACATTTTGATCATTTTACATGAATTATGACAGTAAAAAAAAGAAAGTATAGAGATGGAGTAAGAAATGGCCAAATATTTATATCATGATCTATTCCAACAAAAAACTAAATTTGTTCTTTAACTATTTAAAAAAATTCAGAATTCACATCAGTAAAATTATTTAAATGACAAGTTTTTTTAAAAAATAAATAAAGTGAGAATATTCTTCATGCAAATGTTATTATTTTATAAAAAAAAACAACAACTAATTAAATAGAACTACTTAAACTTCATTAAAGTTCGTCTATAAACTTCTTAATATTTATAAAAACATATATCGATATTTTTAATAAACTTATAACTAACTTATTTTTTTAATGAAAAAACTAAGCTTTAAAATTTATCTTACATGTATATGTTTCATTAGAGCATTAATCAATTCTTCTTAAAAAAAAAGAGTGTATGTTTCATTAAAACTATAGTTATTATGAAACAGAGGAGTAATAAAGAGCATTTAAAATATTTGTATGTTTCATCAACTACAAAAACTCATTCTCACAAACGTTACCAAACCCTAAAATTTCAATTATAAATGAAGTTTTACTGTGGTGTTGTTACTCGAAAGATAGAAAAAAAATTCTAGCCTCCACAAAATTTGATTGCTGAGAAGGCCATGGCAGCATCCATGAAACTTTGTCTGATAATGATGTTCATGGCTATTGCCACTTCCTCGGTGAAACCATGTCTTTCATATGAAGTTTTTGATCCATTTGAGGGTCCTATCTCTCCCATGACAAGTTTTGAAAAGCTCTTGACTGATTGTATACTTAAGTTGCATCCACCATGTGATAATCTCTACATGTTTGGAACAATATTTTTCTACAATGAAACAATTAGCAAAGATTGTTGCAGCAACATTCGTGAAATGGGAAAACAGTGCCATGACACATTAACAACATATATTCTAAACCTTCCAAAATCTAAAGCCAAAAAAACCCTAATTCTACAAAGGAGTAAGCAAGTTTGGAAAGAATGCAACCACCCTTTGCCCCGACAAGTTCAAAATGTTGCTTCTGATGCCAATTCGATTGATTGTTCATCAAAGTTTCATTCACAGTGTGGTGAAGAGTTATATTTTGGGATATTTTTTGGGAATGATACTGTTAGTAGAGATTGTTGCCAAAACCTTGTGGTTGATGTTGGGAAAGAGTGCAAGGATATCATGACAAAACTCGTTTTGAGATTTCCACGGTTTAAGCAAAACGAAACCCTAGTTTTGCGTAGGAGTGACCAAATTTGGAATGATTGTCTTTCATTTTTGGTGCAAGATTGATTACACTTTAATCAATCATCTTTCAAGAAATTGGATTAATAATTTGAATGCTTCCATGTTACTTTAATTCTTATAATGTAGCATTATTTGGAATAAATACTTCATACACTTCACTTGTATTTTTTACAGATTTTTCTATTAAACTAACACGCTATTGAATGGATCTTAATTATCATTCACTTAAATTTATAATATTTAAAGTATTATTCTTTTTTAATTTTAGGTTTGACTTCAATTCATACTAATGGTTATACATTTTTTTTTTCAGTGCATTAGTTATGCTTTGATCGAATAAAATTGTGCTTCTCAAATCTCAAGCTTAAACATTTTTCTAACGAAAAGACATGATTTACATTTGAACAAGTCTACAACTATACACAGTGGTAATTGGAATGAATTATTTTCAAAATCATATAATTGTAGTTTTCAATTGCTGATGAAAAATGAGATTTGTACCCAAACGTAAAAAATGAAGATAAAAACATTGGCATAGATGGAAACTGAAAAGGTTAATTAGCGGTAAGTAAGAAAGAGCAGTTAAAAAAGTTTGTTTGATTCATTAATTACAAAACTCATTCATGCAAACGTTAATTAAGCCACAAAAATTTACCATCGGAAAACATTGCCATGAAAGCTTCACAAAATATGTGCTAAAATCGAGGATACCGATCTCGCAAATATCGAATAGTTATATCCCAATATTATCCTCTAAAAAGTTTATCGTGTGTCTTATTTAGGACTAAGTAATTTTTTTATTTATCTTATTTCCCACTCATTTATTTAATAACTTAAATATTAGAAAACTGTGCAAATGATTTCCTTGTCTTTAATAGATATCAGAACATCTCAAAAAGGCAGGTGGAAAAACCCAATCAAGTCTCCAAACATAGATAATAACACTAGCATGTCTCCACAAAATAAAGTTCCTTTTTCTGTGTGTGCTGGTAGTTTCTTCCATAGCCTTCTCTGTGGCCTGTCCCCAAACAATTCTTCGTCACTATTGTTAGGTATTTTAGAGGGAGTAGTAAAATCTACCTTATGTGAAGATAAACCTTGGTCTTCTGCAATATCTCTCCAAGATTTAAAGATAGTACACCTATCATTTGCTACGTTATGCTATGAAAGAGCATTTTGGACGATGGTCCATGCATATGTAAGATGTATTTGAAGTTCATATTGCATGTTGACTACAGTATTATTTTCCACGTCCACATTCCTCTCATGATTCTTTTTGTGAATAATGTGCTCATCTTGCTTGTTGACTATTACATCTCTTTCCATTGTAGTTCATGGAAATATTGCTTCCTGACTTCTTTTATTTAATTATCACTTACACTGCTATTGGCGACATTGTTCCCTATGATCGTACAAGACTCACATAATTCTGTCTCCACCAGAATTTGTTTCGTATCGTCAACTAAAACTCTAGCATACTGGTCACATAATCTTTTTAAAGTGCAATCATCCAATGAAAATGGTATGCAACCCATCTTGTGTATTGCATATTTTTAAATAATTAAAATTCAAAATTATTTTGGTATATAAATTAGAATAGTTGTATCGAATGAGTTAAATGATAAAGTAATTAAATAGAATATACATTTAATTTCGTTAACAACCAGAGTCAGAAGTCGTGTAATAGGTTTTTGACATTGGGCTTAGTACGACATACTAAAATAGTACGTTATCAGTAAGTAATCCATAGTGCAACTACGCAACTCTTGTTTTATAATGCTCTAATTTTTTGGCATTTGATTTCATCCAAAATTAGAACTATTCTAACCGCTATTCAGGCAATAATTGACTAAGTTTGGAACTTAAATAATAAATATACTCATCATATATTTGCTTATTCCAACTCACTTCTATTTCACTAAATTTTCCAACTAATTTTGGCATTTTATTACAACCATCTAGTGATTTGCTTAAAATCTCACAGCTTCAATGTAACAATTAATGACTGAAAAACATTTGGAAAAAATTATTTTATTCGTATAAAATAAATGTATCTATTGCTATTTTTTGCACTTGAGAGAAGATAAAACCTTATCCCACTAACTACCTGAGGTAAGCTACATAAACCATACAGCCCAATCCCGCCTTGGAGAAAATAAATATTGCATAAAAAATACTCCCTAATAATAAGCTTTGACTTCTGGGTGAAAAATCTGCACAGGTGATATCAACTCCATGCTTTAATCGAGTATACCACTTTAAATAATGCAGACACCGGTTTGGACCAAATTAACTTATCTGCATATGCACAAGGAAACAAGTTAATAGAAGAAAATTGTCGAGTGATGACAATAGACGCATCTAAAAGTAAATTACATATATAACCCCTGTAAAAAAAAACATGTACAACGAAAGTTTCCAACCTTAATCTAAGGATGAGTCTTTGATCTCACGTCTTGTTGAATGAAAACTACTAGTGTCAGCAGAATCATTTAAGACAGTTTTGAAAAAACCGTATTCCCTGTGTCATGGAATTTAATTGGCGGAGAAACAATTTAAAATCAACTACGAATCTCCAGATGTAAAGTAAATTAAGGAATAATAAAATCAACGTAAATTAAGGAATAATAAAATGATATAAGATCTTAAGGTACTCACCTGCAATGCAAAAGTAATATCACCCTCATCTACTTTAGGCGACACTCTTCTCAATTTATCCTCTCGAGATTGTCCAAGTTTAATAAGACCCTGCAGTTACAATATATATTTCATCATTTCACTTGTTATCATTTTCACTCACTGATAAAACACTCTTGAATATGAAAATTCATCAATTGCAGGATGGTACATCTATAAATACAAAATCAAATCAAATTGTTTTAAATACCTGGTCATTTAGCACTCTACACATGTTCGAAAATTCTAAGATTCCTGTTGGAGGAATTAAAGATGATCTGCACGTCCCCACATACGATTTATACAACTGCATTATTCCATCAATAATTTTAAAATTAGAAATCAATATATACGTTAGAATGGACCAAACCCATGTGAGTGCGTTAAGCATACCTCTCCGAGGATTGTATCTTTCTTGGCTCCACGAAAATGAGCCAGAGAAGAGCAGAGTATAATCTGCAAACAGTACAGATCCAGAAAATAGTTAGAGCCAGTACCTAGTATAAAAGGTGTCTAGCATTTAGGTTGGTTTGCGTATTCGACTAAGCAAGGCTTTCCTAACTACCTATGCTTAATATCATACAAATTTACCTTCCCTTCAATGATTTTCAACTTCTATCACAATTTACATAGTTGATTAAAGGTCCCTTCTTCCATCTTTCAATTTCATTGGAAAAAAAGGTGTAAAATCCATATTACTCAGGTAGAATGTTTTTTTTTTTTTTGCTGATGCATTTTTGTTAAGAGCCGTAATAAGAAAATTTCCATTCATCTTTTGCTATCAAACTTTAGAATACCTGATAAGACTAGTGTGAAAATAATTAAGACTGAAATTAGCCTATTCATAGCTACAATAGCCTCTAAATTATATGAAAAGATGTTAGTTTCAGTAATAGGTAGTCCTAGTTTTACACTTCATAGCACATTCATTGTTCAAGTTACCTGCTGATGATGTGGCAGAGATTGTATTGTATCCACCACCGGTGATCTATAAGTCTTGGACAAGGCTCGAGCCATGTGATCAGTCCTTACCTGCAATTTATTCTGAAAACCTTTAGAGAAAAAAGTAGAATGAATAAATCATAGAACAACTTTACTCATTTAATAAATCTAAATTTAGTGTATAGTGGTGCTCAAATGCCTTTAAAATGCTTTAATAATAGTAGACTCTGGTGAAAGAAAATGGTTCATTGCAGATATAACATATTATGCGGGATGCTATTATGGAACTAAGTTGCCTGTATCTATCATGACTGATAAGTCAAATCAGACTAAAACTAATGTGTCTACTTCGGGACAACACCTGAGAGCAACCACTGAATTTAAAAATTAGAACACAACTCGAAGAAATGTACCCAAACCTATTAATGAATTAAATGAGAAAACGAATTATTGAGCACTTACAGTATCAAATTCCCGTTTTTTCATAAGATCAGGAGCTGTAGGAACATTCTGCGTAGAGAATGATATCTCTTCCAATGAAGTATTCATATTGCAGGCAGATTCTCTAACTTCTGCTTCAAGCATCTCAATTGCACTCCTGGAAAGAGAAAAAAACTACTGAAGTTGTTCTGTTGCTGGATTTTGCTCAGGCTAAATTCACAAAGCAAATTGTGACATCAATATAATGGGAGTGACCCAAATTGAAATAAACTAGGAATTCTATTACTGAAACTTCCTCCGTCCCTGTCTATGCACCAAAAAGATACAAGAACGCTGATATTGATGACGAATCCAATGAAAGAGTAACTCTTAAAGTACTAGAGAGAAGGGAACTTTAACCGAAACCTCTATTCAATCACATCCCCCACCAACTAAGTTCCCTTGTCCTAGTTTATTTCCTCATAAAATACATTTAAACGCCTATTGGGCAGTAATTATTTAAACTAACTCTCTGGATTTTAATCCCATGCAAATATTCCAGGTTCAAGTTCAAATAGCATTACTTAACTTTTCAACTCAACCAAAACTACGGTTGATTCTGGCTACGTAGTAAAGTTCCTTTTCTACTTTCTCTATAAATAAAATGAACTTTAGATGAATAAGCTTGGATACACTTATTCATCATTTCACCGGCATAAAGGGCAAATAATAATAAAAAAAATGACTGACCTGCATATAGAAAGGGCATTGCGCATGTCTCCAGAAGCTGCAGCAACTTTCTGCAAAGTGCCGTGCAAATTAGGCTCCACTATATACTATTAAATGATGATTCACGACAGTACTTTTATGCTCGTCGTTAGCTTATTTATTTCAAGCCAAATTCATAAATAGTACAATGGGACTTGTGCATTTTACGCGAAGAATAAAATGGTAGCATAGTCTAGCATTATTTTTTCAAGTAATTGGACTCACTCTAGCACATAGTTCCAGGGCTTGCTGTTGAAAGACGGTGTAAGGAAGTTCCTGGTGGTGAAACAAAAATTTATTAACAAAATTATTCAACAAGAAATGCAGCACTTGCTTCGCATTTTTTCTTCTACCAAGTCAGTAAATTAACTACCAAAGTTTCAGTGACTATTTTCTTCCAGTAGTCATGATTAAAGATGATTATGGCACAACCCTATAACTCAAGTTCAATAACAATAATCTTACATTTAACCTTTCTTCAAGAATCTTGAGGATCTGATCTTTCGAGTAAGCCTGGAAATTTACAACAGCAGGCTTGCCTAGAACAAAACAAACGGAATAGGTTAAAAAATTGACAACATAAAGTAGTTTCCAATTATGTACACAAGTAGCATATAAAATAATAAACGTTTATATAAAATTATTGACTGAATTTACTCACAATTTAATGATGTAAGCCTTGGAAGAAATCGATCAGCTAAGTCAATGGCATTCGCTACACCTGCATCAACAAGCACGACAAGTCTTAAATTGCCCAAACTGGTGTACTAGCGACGAGTTGGAAACAACTGTTTTGCAATTTTTAGATATTTACCTATTAATATACATCTAGAAAAAGGGAAGGTGGTGAGCATGAAAAGATCATGAAGCACGGCTCTGTCTTTGGTTATCAAATAATCTAATTCGTCAGCTACAATCAATCTGTTACAATGAAGGTATATTATTTCTTTGACAACAACCAAGTAGAAAAAAATCTACATGTCAGTTTATATTATACTCATATTGAAAAACTCTCATAGTCCAGTCCAGGGCAGGAATATGTTTCTTACGTCATGTTCTTGATAGGTGATTTCTGAGAATACATGTTCTGAAGTTGCTGTAAGGGCGTGGCTGAAACCTTTTTACCCTGTGTTTGGTTTGACCCAAGCATCTGCTACAACAGCTAGTAGGTCAGCCAATGATATAGTTAACTTCAGTTCAATGAAATGTCCATCAGCATTTCCTACCTTTGTGAAGATATCCGATGTGTTAGCTAGAGTTGTACAGTTTACAGATAAAACATCTGGCAGCGGGAGACCTGCCTGAAAATTATACAGGCAAAATCATATTAGAAAACGTACACAAAACACACTACAGCTTCAGACAGACAATCAAAGTTAGATATCTATTATAGTGGTATATTTCTTCAGTCAATTAAACAGGATCGTCAAGGAAGATAATACATACTAAATGACATATTAGACATAACAACAATCAAGGGCTAATTAACTTTCAATATCTATGCAACATGCGTACAATCATCAATCAATAACAGCACCAAGAGCATGAAATCAACAATTACACCATACCTCCTTAGCCCAATTGAGTAATTGCTCTTTCACTTTCTCCATAGATAACGATTTTCCGGTTCCGGGACACCCGCATATGTACAGACTCCCGGCCTTTTTGTGCTCAACGCACCCTTTGCAGAATTCTAAAACAACATTCTGCTCCTCCTCACGGCACACAACCGAAGCCGGCGCAGTGGACAAGTGCAATGCTAGCTTCGCCGCCTTCATTTGCTCACCATCTATCATTCAGTCAACAAAAAAAAAAACAATACAAAAATCAAAATAAAAAAAATACAAATAAAACAAAAACAGTAAGAAATTAAAGAATCTCGAATCTTACCTTTGGGATTCCACTTCGGTTTCACAGCTGCCGGATGAGCTTGGTTTTCATCGGTGCCGAATTTGTTTACCTGCAAACGAACAAAGAGAAACCAGTTAATTACAGGAATTGAAAGCGATGAGACAGCGTACGTATGGGAATCAGGGTTTTGCGGACTACATTGGGGGAGGAATTGGGAGTTGCAGCGGTGCATCGGCGGGGCGATTTACGGGGAGGCGAGGAAGGGTGAGATCGCAACGAGCGTTTTGCAGCGATGACTGGCATTTTTTTTTTCACGAGGGTGAGAGAAGGCTGAAACAGATTTTGAAGGTTGAAGAAGAAAACGTAATTTGGCGATGAAGGAATCGGAGAAGAGAATAGATCTATAAGCTTTCTTTAGCGGGAAAAGTTTATACGAGCGCGCCAAATTGCCAGCATCTTCTTTCGACGTTTTCCCGCGTGACGCCTTCTTATTTGTATTTTTTTCATAAGTTAAAAATAATTGCTCGTAATAAGTTGAGGAAAATAAAATAATTAAAATATTATCACAACAATTTGTAAAATTGTCTTTCACGATGAAGTTGTTCATGTCCATTTTTCAGTCATATTTTCTTTTTATCATTTTGATCACTATTTAAACCAAACTATTTTCTTTTTAAATCCTAAATAAAAATTACTATCTTTTTTGACAAAATAGAATATGCATCTATTTTGGAGTATCCATTCGACAAATATTATTTTTGGATATCATTTTACACTAATAATTTTAATAAGTAATAGTCTTACTTAATTAGGATTATTACGTGTAACAAAATTATCCCTCAAAGTATTTGACACGTTTATACACTCAAAGTTAAAGTTTATCAACAATAATAATTGTAGAACTGATTATGGTTTTCAAAATATATGTAAAATTTTGAAAATAAAATTATTATTTTTCTTGTCATTGATCATATGTATTGTGGCATCACTGGTTAAATAATAAAATGAAGTTAGATGATAAATTATGCAAATAGAATTATTGGAATATCATATAACATTGATGACAAAATGTACAGTAAAAGAAATGGATGAGAGAGAAATTGATATATGTAAAAAAATAGTTACTAAATTTTGTTCTACAAACTAACTTTTTATGTTTTAGTCATTGTACAAATTCCTATAAGTAAAAGTAATATTGAATAATATATCTCTTAATAATCATTTTTACGCTTTAATTAATAGCAAAATATTTTTGCCCTATGTTTTCACTTCATGCTTACACTAAAAGCCCAAACATGTGGCACTCACACATAAGTGCGTGATGTTTAATAATGGACTTTGTCTTCAACATGCTGATCAACAATCATTAACCACTTGTTAACACGCGTTAATTAACTGCACTGCAAATGCAATATAATAATAGGTGTTTAAACTTAAAAACTATTTAATAAAATAATAAAAAATCGTTTATTTAATACAATTTATGAAAAACGGCTTAATTTTAAAATAAGCAAATTAAAGAAAAAATCAATTTATTTATTTAATTACAAAATACCATTTTTCGTATATATTAAAAATTGATAAATTATAAAAAAAAATCTCTTCTTTGTATAATATATATTAATAAAAATACGTATACTAAAACGCTTTGTATATCTATGTTTTTTAAATATTATTAATTTATTTTTAACTTTATTTGTTTTCTTTGTTGTGTCCACATTTTTTTACCTATTATATTACATTACACTTTTTTCTCTCTTGATTTTTTAAATATATAAACTATAATATTTTTTTATATTATTTATCTTTTTAGAAATCATATCCAATATATAATGAAAGGATACTGTTGTTCTGACTAGAAAACTCATAACTAACATTACCAAGTGGGTTTGTTTGAGACGAAGATGTGTTGATGTTGTTACTTTTACTGCGTGCACAAACAACAAGATTAAAAGGGTCAATGACAGGGACTGTTCATTCCTTTCATGCTTCTTCATTCATCATTGTGACAATTTTCATGTCACTCAATATATGAACTATAAAGTTTAGATAAAAATATTTAAATACTTTAAGATAATTATGTAATTTTTTTCATTTTTGCATATAGGTTTAATTAGTTGGTCCAGCATGCTCTCGAAAATCAAATGGTAAACAAAATACTTTAAAAAAATTCATCTTTAAACATTTTAATCCTTTAAAATATTTCTACAACTTAAAAAAAATCATATATATATATATATATATATATATATATATATATATTATAAAGTAATTGACAACTTCAATTTTTCATCAATAAACATTTTAATTCTTTGCATATTTTTTCCCAACACATTTTTTTATTCCTCGTATTTATTTATTCCATACATTAATTTTTTTATTAAGGATTTTTTTTATTCATCTCACTCATGAACATTTTTTTCGAGAGATTTAATAAACTCTTATAATAATAGATAATGGATTTACTAAGTTTATTTTATATAATTAAATTATATATTTTATTATTTTTAATATAATATTAAAAATAATTCTATCGATATTATAATATGAAAATTATCCTTATATAAGAAGGTGTGATAAAATTTTCTATTGGATTATAATATATAATATAAGGGTAAAAAAATCCTTATTTTCTTAAGGCAATTTTGGAGAGTTGAATTATATTTGTTATTGATTTTAATAGACATTCTTATCGTTAACTTTTTTTTTTAATTGATGGAACATCCTACGTGTTAATTGGTTTGGTCAGAGACAGCTGGTCTTACAATTTCATGTAATTATTACTTGCATTTTATTTTTCAGCCACATTATTACTTACATTTATTCTCTGTAAAAAGGTTTCCACGTTCTTGTGCAAGAGCTTCACCTAAAATTACTAATTAGTATTTTTCAAATAGTAGGAGTAATAATGCATTAGATTTGTGGACTGTAGGTGATTACTGTTTCTGGCTTTTACTATTTACCTTAGGTACCGAATATTGTTATAAGTTCTCTAAAAGTTGCTAATGAGGGTTTACAATTTAAAAAAAAAATTATTGTGAATTTTATATTTAAGTTGTTTAAAAATAAAGAAAGTTATTTTAAATTATAAACAATTTATATAAAATAAAAAGTAATAACTATAATAAAATATTCAATTTTATGTAAAAATATATATTTTTTAATAACCCTCTCAGGATATGTTTAGGGTGGGATTTAACTTTAAAAAATTTCAAAAGTTATATAGAAGATTCTAACCCAATTGAATTAAAATTAAGCAGAAACTACACAATATTTGTCATATATACTTTTAAAAACCATGCGATTTCCTTATAAAATTTAACTAATTTAAAACTATTTGAAATTCATTGTTAGTAATTTTCAACATAAATTTTCTTCGTGGACATTCCAATTTAAAGCACACTCCAATACTAAATATCTAATGATTGAAACTTTAGTTGGGCATGTTGGGATGGGAGAAAGTAGCTCTTCCACAACATCGAAATCTTTGTGTTTACCATGTTTTCTATAATTTAGTCTTATAATATGGAATTTGTTTTCTATTTAAATATTTTGATTTTATTATATTACTATCTTTTATTTATCTCTTCATGTAGATAATAAAATATCTCAAATGTATTATGCAACCGTCTTATAATACATCTAGCCTAGAAAATATAAGTAATTTTGAATATTATTTTAATAAATTATTTATTAAACAAATTTTTAATTTATAAATCTAAAAACTAAAACTTATTTCTAAAATAATAAATAAACAAGTCTTAATTGCATTTTTAAATAAAAAGCTATTTATAGTTAATTGCAATTCCTTATAAAATTACTAAATTATTAAATATCATTTAATAAAACATATATTTGATAAGATTTAATGAAAAGTAATTTAGATTCGCTTAAGATTATTTTCCCCTTTTTTTAAAAATATTTCGTCAAAATTCTATCAGACAATTACAGCTATTTGCATCCTGATGCGAAAAAAAATGGAGAAAATTATTTGCCATGAAGATGTGAAAATGGAGGTGAAGAAAGGAACTTTTTATTAAATAAATAAATAAATAATAATACTGTTTTTTATATTTTAATTATTATTATAACATAAATAATTAAATAAAAATATTAAAATAATAAATGTATTTAAAATTAACAAAATAGTATTTAAATTAATTAAATTAGCTATATATTTTATAATCTTTTCACTCTTTTATTTTTATTTTTTATTCTCCATCTCTTAATTTAAACAATTTTACTTTATCTTTGATCTCCCATTTTGTCCAGTTATTTAGATTAATTTTTTAATTCATACATAAACTTAATAATATTATCTGACCAAGATATAATAAACAAACATGTAATAATTTGAAAACTAAAAGAGATCTTCATAAAATTTATTTATTTATTTAAAATGAATTCCCACCTCTGCGATTCATTGACAAAATCCTTATATCAATAAATTAATTGCAAATACTTTATAAACATAACTACTTAACTGTAAGTTTTTAAAATTTTTAATATAATTACATACAATTTGTATAAATTCTACCCCGTAAGAATAAGATTTTTTCAAAAGTATCTTAAATTTCTCAACGATTTTTAATACTGTTATTGATAAACATTCACTCCTTCCCTCTCATTCGCAGGGTCGTGTATGTTAAAGTTCATTTAGTTATTATTCAAACATATTAATTCTATCAAAATCTTTAGAATTTTTTTGGAAAAAAAAATTAATTAAACTAATTAAAGTCTCCATACTTTCGTATCCATAAATTTAATGGTCAAATTTTAAAAACATGAAAAAGTAGTCATTATTTTTTAAAAATAAAAAATTAAATCTACCCGTCTTTTAAAATTTAAGAACAACTTCATTATTAAAAAAGGTCAAACGCTTTTAATACATCTAATAAGATATAACTCTTAAAGATTCACTGAAACTAAAATGTAACTCTTTTTATATTTTTAATCAAAATGGAATTTGTATATCCTATTCATATTTTAAGTTTCATTTTAGTTATTCAAAGTTTTTTTTTGAATTTAATTTTTGAAAATGATCTATGAGACCAATTTAATATAGAAGACACGTGATAGTAGGAAATAAAACTGTCATGTTTACGTCAAAAACTGGAGATATGATTGATTTTGTTTTTAAAAAAGTAATTTATTTTAATTTTAAAAGAGCAAAACAAAACCTATCATATAAAAAAGACAATAAAATAATATATTATAAATGTATATTGTACCATACTAATAATGTATTAATAATATACATAAGAAAAAAAAAGCTAATAACGTATTAATAATATACATAAGAAAAAAGATACTGGTACATACAAAAAGACAGACACTTGATGATATATATATATATATATATACCATCCTATACCAGATGGGGTCTGTCGGAACGTTACAGAGAGTGTTGAAAGTCATATTTGAGTTTGGAAATCTCTCTCCCTATCTATGTCTTTGGTTTCCATTGCCATGTTTTCTCACTGTCTTCAGTAACAACACAAGGCGTAAAACAGACACCATTCCTCATCACATTTCATCATCATCACCCTCTTTCCATCAACCACACTACAAAGTTCACAACTAGAAAGCCACTCTTGTGGGCCCCACTTACAAGCTGGACGGTAAAGATAACCATGCTTTTCATTTTTTTTTGTTTTGTTTTTGCTTTTTCTCAAGTCTCTTTCTTCACCAAACGCTGTTTTCATCATTCGAATGCCATTTCACCCTCCAATATAAATGCTTCATTTTGTTTGTCTTCAGCCTTGTCTTTTCAAATGGGAATATCCAAGTTTTGTTCTTTCCCTGTCTGTTCAACCGTCACCATCACCTGTTAGCTCCTGAATCTGCTGTTGAATCGAGGTGTGTGTGGACTATGATCTACCCTTCTGGTTAAAAGAGTCTTGTTTGGTGTTGAATTGTTCATGCTTTGTGTTTGGTGGCAGTGGATCATCTTCGTTCTCTCCCTTTTTCTTGCATTGTTATTGCTTTTGACTTTGTTTTGCCCAAGGATTGGATGGCCTATGTGGGTTGGTCCGTATTTGCTCTTTGAATTTGTTCATGCTTTGTGCTTGTTTGCAGTAGATCGTCTTTTTTTGTCTCCCTTTTATTGCATTGTTATTGCCTTTTTGACTTTGTTTTCCCCAAGAAATGACTGGCCTTTTTGGCTGGTTCATTGATGCCTGATGTATTAGTTTCAGAGGTTTAAATATGAAGACTTTGGGGGTAGGCTTGGTTCTGGGTATTGATGCTATAAATTCATTTGGGGGCAACTTGAGTGTTGTATTGATTTTGGGAGTTATGTGTTGGGCTAGTTTCATCAAATATTTTCTGAAATTTGATGCATTTTTTTTAGTTATTAGTTTATAATTCTTGCTTGTGTTGGCTTTCCTACCACTGCAATTCACTTGAAAAGTTATCAAGTTTATTAGCTGATTTTTAATTTTTTTTTTTAAATTTTTGATGTCTCAGTGGAAATTTTATTTATTTATTTTCATCATTGTTACTTGAGCAGAAAAAATGTCATAGGTTAAACCTAATAGGTGCTGCAGAAACAAAATATGAATGCTTTTAAAGTCTGATGCACATTTTCCTTTGAGATGACCAAAATAATTAGAACTTTGTGTTTGTTTGCTGTAATTACACAAAAAAGACTATAGATTTCGTGATAACAGCTTTCATTCATTGGTTTATTTATTTGATAGAATTAAATTCTTAAATTAATTTTTCAGTATCATGGCTGAGTATTTAATAGTCAAGTGACTGACATAGGTGCATTCTAATACTTCAAATTATGGACACAATATATTTGATTATTATTCTTTAAGTGAAATCTTATCTGTTTTAGATTAATTGCACAATGGTAGCATGTCTTTGCTTAACTTGATTTATTTATTATAGCACTGCTTCTGGATTATATGGACGGTTATAATATCTAGTAATTAATGTGTGGCCATCTTAAACCTTTCTAGATAAGTATTAATATATGCTCTGAAAATAGCAACCGTATTAGTAACATGTAAGTCAGGACTAACATAGTTTAAATCCTGGATTGCAGAATAATCTAGTGTTGGTTATTTGGTTGGAGTATTAGAGGCATAGACACAATGCCTATTGTAACTAAAGATATGGATTCTGCATTCCAAACAGCTGGAGCAAACCCGTATCCTTACAACCATTTTCTTTCAAATTGCTTTATAATTTGTATGAGTCTGTTGAACAGGTAGTAGTTATTTTTTGTGTTCGTTTTTTTTTTCATGCTAAAGCAAATAAAAAAGGTATTTATTTCCGATGACAAAGGCGCCAAAACAAATAGCTGGTTTTAACTAGCATTAGCCCATGTCTATTGACAAGTGTTTCCTCAGTCATTGGTGAATGTCTTATTGATTATGGAGAAAAAAATTAAAAATAAAAAGATAGGAGAGTAGGTTCTTGTGCTGTAGTAATGTTACATTGTAAAAATAGTAGGGAAGCACATAAAAGTTTTGACTTGAATGCTTATTTCTCAAGTTTTATTTTAGGTCTTCCAGATTTGTGTTTCAGCTGTAATTTTTTTTTTTAAATGTTTCTCATTTCTTTGTTCAAGTTTCTGTTTTATACTTAGCTTAATGTTCTTAGTGGCTTAGAAATTTGGTGTGTTGAGAACCAGCGGTTGGTTTCGTTGTCAAAGTCAAGCCATGGAAAATTCTATACCGGAAGTGCATACTTAGTCTTGAATGTAAGATATTGTTCACTTTATGTCCCCATCGATCCTTTCAAATGCATGAAGAAGTTGCTGCATATATCTCATTTAAAATCCAAAACAAAGATTGTCTTCATCATCTCTTTCACAGTTTTCCTATCCCTTTTTGAAATTGAACCTGTTAATTTTGGAGCCACCTTCCCCACAATGATTTTTAACAATTCCCTATCAGTATGTGCACAATTTTCATCTAAATTCTTGACATAAAATTGATCTTTACCTTTTTGTGTTTGTGGAAACAGGCAGTCTTTCCGAAAATTGGCCCCCCTCATTATGACATACATTATTGGCTGGGAAGTGAAGCAAAGAAGGTTCATGTTGTTTCTTTTTAATTGTCTTGCTTGTAGTGATAACAATATGTTACTGTTATTTTTCTACAAGTAAATACTTTTAGGCGGTACCCTTAGTGTTTTCCTCAACTCACAAGGTGGTGTGGTCCTCTATTTTCCTAAAACATTTATTGTCATGTTTCTCATCATGTTTACTGTAATCAATTAATCTGTAATTTGAGAATAGAGTGAAACTGTATAGAAATGTATTTTATGATTTTATCCCATTTATGAAATGTGAAACTATAATGACTATTTTATAGTACCAAGATTTCTTCAATAAAACTTGCTTGAGGTATGGTTTCTGTTTATACATCAGGAAAATAAAGAATATGGATTTGTATTTGTTTATCTAAAATTTGTTTGGTGATTTAAATGTGGTTAAATAGATCAAGGAAGGTAATAGATGTATTGGAACAAATATCTATTCAAAACATTTGATTTTAATTCATTAAACAGTGAACGTAGTTTTTAAAAGAATGTGGGATTTGACTGTGATTAAACAGCATGATCAGTATTGTTTTACAGTCAATTAAGTTTTGCAGGTAGACTCAAACTTGGCATCAGACAAGGCACTTGAGCTGGATGCAGCCTTAGGATCTTGTAGTGTTCAATACAGGGAAATTCAAGGCCAAGAATCGCAGAAGTTTCTATCATACTTCAGGCCTTGTCTTATACCCATCGAAGGAGTGTTTACTTCAAAGCAGGGGAGCTTGAATGGTGAATATCAAGTCCACCTGTATACTTGCAAGGGAGATTATGTTGTTCATGTGAAAGAAGTGAGTTGTTTCTGAAGTTTAATAATTAACTGTTTCTATTGTCCGATATCACTTCCTTTACCTATTTTCTTCTCGCCGAAAAGTTTAGTTAAGAACTTATTGTGTCTCCACATAATACTGTATGATATATAGTTATTTTGTTGACTGTGTTTTCTTTGAGGGGATGAAACAGTGATTGATAACTGGATGAGATAATATCAATGATAATCACTGCTGAGGGTACATGTTAGTTTCAGACAGCATAGCTCTCAGTACCATTTTTCTTTACTTTGCTTTCAGACTTTCAATTGTTGTTTTATTTGACATATTCAAATAGAATGTCCTAATGTGCTAATATATTCATTAGGTGCCGTTTCTGAGGACATCATTGAATCATGAAGATGTATTCATTCTCGACACAGCCTTAAAAATCTTCCTCTTCAGTGGGTGCAACTCTACCATTCAAGAAAGAGCTAAAGCTTTGGAGGTTGTTCAGTACATCAAGGAGAATAAGCATGGTGGAAAATGTGAAGTGGCAACAATAGGTTTGAGTACACACAACTTTTGTAGTGTTTATTGCTGTTTTCTGATGGGAAGATGTTGCAAATCATAATTTTACTATTGTTGTAGAGGATGGAAAATTCGTTGGTGATTCTGATGTGGGTGAATTCTGGAGTTTATTTGGTGGTTATGCTCCCATACCTCGAGAATCGCTGCCTGTTCAGGAATCTGAGTCTCCTCCTCTAAAGCTATTTTGGTGAGGTTCATACACCTATGTGCATAATGTTTGTGTGCATGCATCAGGGCATGTGCTGCTGAACCATACTTGTCAACCTTATTTCTACGTTAAACATACAACATGTTTAATTAACTTATTTATATTGATGGATTGATGGTCAATTAATGGCATCACAGTTTATTGACTGACCTAAATTGTTTTATGAGTTGTTTTACTTCAAGAAATACGTCACTCTTAGCTAAAGAGTGGTTGTTTTCACATCTCAACAGGATAAATTTACAGGGAAAACTTTGTGAGACTGGAACCCATGCATTCAGCAAAGAAGTGCTTGAGACAGACAAGTGTTATATGTTGGACTGTGATAGTGAGATTTTTATCTGGATGGGAAGGCAGACTTTATTGACAGAAAGAAGAACTGCAATCAGAGCTATAGAAGTAAGACTCTTTTCTTTGAGTTTACTTTTGTTTCGTGGAAACTTTAAATATCCTACCTTTATAGTCTGTATGTGGTACCATCATATTACAGTCCTAAAAGAATGAGGCTTGGTTTATTGATATCAAACTTTCACTAATAAAATCAATCCACTTACAATCTACTCCCTAGCACTCACTTGATATTCACCTTTGTTCCGAAACTTATTGTACTAAAGAAATATATAATTTTGGATAGTTTTCTTCATTGAAAGTTACTTTTATTGTAATTTCCATGGAGCCAAAAATTCTTTATAGTAAATGTAATGATAAATCTTACTTAATTCTTGCTAGCTGTAATGGTATGACAGGTGAGTTAAATTAATTCATGTAGTCAATTGTGCTTGTCCATAATCATTGCATTGAGAGCATTGCCTATGCTCACTGCTGTGTCCATTTTACTAGGATTTTGTCAGAAATGAAGGCAGATCAAACAAGACTCATTTGACATTTTTGTCAGAAGGATTGGAAAATACCAACTTCCGGTCACACTTTACTAATTGGCCTAAAACAGTGGAGCTTAAGCTTTATGAGGAAGGAAAAGAAAAAGTGGCAGGTACAGTATCTTACACACATTACTTGTGTTTAAGAAGTTTACAGTTAGTGTGTCTTCTATTATTCTTTTCTTTACATTTTGTTTTTTCTGCCTCAGCCATATTCAAGCACCAGGGTTATGAGGTGAAAGAACTTCCTGAAGAAGACAATGAACCGTCTATAGATTGCAGTGGCACTTTAAAAGTATCTTCTTGCTCAAAACTTATATGTTTCTTGGGTTCCAGTGATCGAATGTTCTTTTTCCTGTGTTGTCTATTCTGATTACTGCAATTTCAGGTTTGGCGGGTGGATGATGATGAATTGGCCCTTCTTTCAGTTACTGAACTGACAAAGCTTTACAGTGGAGATTGCTATATTGTACAGTATACTTTTCCAGGAAATGGAAGAGATGAGACACTATTTTATGCTTGGTTTGGCTCCAAAAGTGTAACGGTAGGCACTTGTCGAGGTTTTCTGTCTTCCATTACGTAGTTTTTTAACTTGTCTAAAATCCTCAGTTCTGTCTTCCATGTACAGTACTCAGTTCTTCAACTTCTGCGACAATGATAAACTTTTATTCTCATATTTTTGAAATAGGGTTGGTTGTTGTCAATAATCCTAATCCAAACTACCTTTTTTCCCTCTGATTTTGGCCTGCAGGAGGATAGAACAGCTGCCATTTCCCACATGAGTACTATGGCTGATTCAATCAGAACTAATCCAGTTATGGTTAGTGCTGGATTCTCGCTCTGCCAACTCTTTTAATGTGTTGATTGAATGTGTGCAATAATGAAATTATAGTTTGGGAAATATCTGTACAATTTCTATCTTCTCAACAGGTTTCTTAATGCTACATTCTGCATATTAAGCACATTCATATAAAAGACATATAACTTTCCTGCATATTACTCTGCCTAATATATTCAATTTACATCACATGTTTGTTCAGGCTCAAATCCATGAGGGTAAGGAACCAGCTCAGTTTTTCTCAATACTTCACAGACTAATCATATTCAAGGTATGTGCCCAATATAATCTCATCTTTAAGTTTTGTATGTAGTATTAAAAAAAGTCTCATACTCCACATTCTTCATTTTTCTTCTTGTAAGGGGGGAAACAGTTCAGGATACAGGAACTTTATAGAAGAAAAAGGTATAGTGGATGAAACTTACAATGAAAACCTGGTTGCTTTGTTTCGTGTACAAGGTACGAGTCTGGATAATATGCAGGCCATCCAAGTTGATCAAGTAAGTTTACGAAATTGACTTTCTTATCCATAGTGGAGCCCTTTTATCTTTATTATATCTTATCTATAATTATCAAAAATATATACAAAGGCTTTCAGCAAAGCTATTGGATCCTTCTTTTTCTAAATTACATCAGTTGTTTTCTTATCCATAGTGGAGCCCTTTTATCTTTATTATATCTTATCTATAATTATAAAAAATATATGCAAAGCCTTTCAGCAAAGCTATTGGATCGTTCTTTTTCTAAATTGCATCAGTTATTTCTAATTACAAGTTATTTTTCATCACCAACCATTTCAATATCTTTTTCTTATTGACTATGGACTAAAATACGAAATACTGAAGTCCAACCTATTGTGTTCTTTTACTGCCGGTCTATTGGTTGTTATTTATATTTGAATTTTTTCTGTCTATTATTTGTAAGCATGTATTGACTATGTACTAAAATTTTTATAGGTTTCAACCTCCCTGAATTCATCCTATTGCTACATTCTGCAAGATAAAGGATCTATCTATACTTGGATTGGGAGCCTGTCTTCAGCTAGAGACCATAATCTTCTTGATAGAATGGTGGAGCTACTTAATGTACGTCATTGCAATTGACATTTAGTAATGATAGTCCTGCAAAGGAAACATTTAGTAATGAGTTTTTCATTTGAATATATATTAAATGAGAAGACAGTATAGTTCTTCTAATGGTGTTAACTCATTATTTCTGAATGCAATCCTGCAGACAAAATGGCTACCTGTTTCTGTGAGGGAAGGGAATGAACCTGATGTTTTCTGGCATGCTCTTGGTGGAAAGGCAGAGTATCCAAAAGGCAAAGAAATTCAAGGATTTATAGATGATCCACATTTGTTTGCATTAACAAATTCAAGAGGTAAGGAAAGCACCCTCTAACGAAAAGTAATCTAGATCTCACTTGGTTTAGAACTATACTGGGTGAAATGACAGGGAAAGCATGTCTAATTGATGGTTCTGTTTCTCACGCTGATTTATTGGAATTTCAACTCAGGAGGAGACTTCAAGGTATGTTGCTTCTACAATTTGAAACTGTTCATGTCACATGTTATAAATAATTATTTGAATAACTAATACATAATTCTACCAAGTCAATAAGAATATTATTTCTGATGAAGACTGAGATAAAAACCACCATGAATAGCATTAGTAATAAGCATTTAGATTATCTGCTCTGAGATTGAAAAGGCAATAATATCAACTAGAGTCAAAGCCTTATGAACTTTGCATTATGGCCTTTTTTTGTCAATTTTTCTTTTGCTCACATTTAATGTGATTAATTTGTAGCCTTGATATAATATTTCAGGTGAAAGAGATATACAATTATACACAGGATGACTTGATTACTGAAGATGTTTTATTGCTGGATTGCCAAAGAGAGGTTTATGTTTGGGTTGGCTTGCATTCGGTTGTCAAATCAAAACAAGAAGCTCTTAATCTTGGCCTGGTACTTACTTACTATGCTATGCAATCAAATCAATTTGTCATTTTACTTATATATGGTGTTCACATAGCCATTTCGTTCCAATAATCCACTCACATTTGAATATCCGCCATTAAGATATGTTATAATTACTTTGTATTTTGTTCTTTCACTACTTTTTCCTGCACGAGTGGACCTCTGCCACAGCCCCTGTAGAACTTTTTGCCAATGAATTCAAGTACTTAATGAAAAATGCCTCTATAGGCTATACAAAGAAGTCATTGTTTATACATCTAATTTAAAGAGCCAAGTTTGATGGTTGTTTCTCCATTATTCACTAATTATTTGACAGTCTCATCCTAGTAACTAATTCTTATTTGGCCATAAAATGGATCATGAGATCAAAGTTTACAGTTTTAATATAACGTAGACTTATTCTTTACTGCAATATGTTTTTCTTACAATGGAATTGTTGAGCAGAAATTTCTGGAAATGGATGTCCTTGTCGAAGGCCTATCCCTGGACATCCCTATTTATATTGTAACGGAAGGTTACGAGCCACCATTTTTCACTTGTTTCTTTTCATGGGATCACACAAAAGAAAATGTAAGTCTTCTTCCTTCAAAATTATAACTATTGATCATCATATTCTGATGGCTAATTTTAAGAAGTGCTCATTGGGATAGTAGAGGAGCATTGTAGAGGCTTGATGCGATCCCTTGACCCCACTTTCCCCAAAAATATAGATTGATTGCCAAACTCCCTGCAAGAATTTTTTGTTACATATACTGATGTTGATATACCTATAAATGTGGTGTAATTTATGTTGATTTGTTAGTTTAGTCAATTTTATATTTAATTGTGTATAACTGCATTCAAAGAATTGGATGTATAGTAATAGAGGAAGGTTGAAATTTGACATAAGTTATGGAAATTTATTTGTCTATTTATGCTGTGATGAAAATGTTTCATATACAATTCAATTTTTTGCCATTTTGCCAGTTTGAACCAGAACTTGTCTCTTTGCATATGCAAATAGTTAGTTTGTTGTTTGAAGGGGACACCTTTTGGTGTTCCACACCTGGATTATATTGTCATCCATCTTATCAATTATTTTGAATGAATTGTTGCAGATTGTTGGCAACTCATTTGAGAGAAAGCTTGCAATTCTGAAAGGAAAAGCAAAAAGTGCAGAAGTACGTGACTACCTTGACAATGTTTAAGTTATTATACATATCTTTCCGGAAGATTATGGTCCTGTTATGAGAATGTACAGATAAATTTTTGAAGGTTTTCAGCTTTGATCATTTCCTTTGTCTTCGTATTATTTTCCATTATCCAGGGACATATTAGAACCCCATTAAAAGCTACCTCCAGGGACTCTACTCCTAATGGTCACAGAAGCATTTCTGTTTTCTCCAATGGTCGTGGAAGAAGTGGTTCGCCTATACCTAGCAGTGCAGGTTCAGATCATAGGCAATCAGGTGATAAACTTCTTGCTAGCCCAACCCCAGTTGTCAAGAAGCTCTTTGAAGGATCTCCTGCCAATGATAGTTCTGGTAATAACAATCCTTCTCATCAATTTCTCAAGTGAAATTTATTTAGTTGGACAGTTAGTCAATATGTGAATGAGTTAGTTCTCTTTGAAGCTGTCTACTCTAAAGTTGATATATATAATATAGAGTAAATTACAGTGAAATATTCTAAAGGTTTTCTCGAATTACACTGACACTGGAGTGCAACAGTATAGTATTAACTAGAGTGATTCATTTCATCCTTTACTTGTTATTTTTTATCCGTTTGGTTTTCTTTTCGTAGAAAAAACAATGCCACAGTCTGACTCTCCAGCAACAGAACTGAGCTCATCTAATGAGTCTGCAAGTTTCACTCAAAAGGATAGAAATATGAACGGGGAGAATACGCCAATATACCCCTACGAACGCCTGAGAGTGGTTTCTGCTAATCCAGTAACTGGCATTGATTTGACCAAAAGAGAGGTACTGTCTAAACTAGTTCAATCAGTTTTGTTACCATCTTAACTTGCTTCTACTTTATCTTGGAGGATCAATATGAAAGACCAATGTATGAAATTTTCTCCTCCATTGGACAAAAATATATGCAGAACTATTAATTATGTTAGTATGTTATAATGTTAATTAAAATCTATTAGTTGTTGTACTTATATATAACTCCTTTGTACATTTTTATGCGATCAATATATTGAATATCTCTTTCTTCTTTCTATTCTTTCAAGAACTTTTGTTATACGTAGACATCACTCTTGTTTTACTCTGAAAATTGAATGGAATCTACACTTTGTGATGAATGTAGGTATATTTATCTAATGAAGAATTCCGTGAGAAGTTTGGAATGCCAAAATCTGCTTTCTCTAAGCTTCCTAGATGGAAACAAAACAAACTGAAGATGTCACTGGATCTATTTTAGAGCAAGGTCAACAAATGACTGTGTTTTGTGGCACTCTATTACAACATTGTAGGATGATACAAATTTTACCTCGTGAGTGCATTGAGAGTTTGAGGTTGAGTTTGTGAAATACGGTATTCCTTCATTTTATATCTCATAATGTACTGTTATGAAGATGATGTTTTTGGGGCATACAAGTGGAACTATGTTATGTTTTTTTGCTTGAAGAGAAAACGTTGTATAGTATTTTTCCTACCAAATGTTTAAACAAACATACATAGGGCTGATGGAATATCTATGATCAATGGACTATGGTTTCTAGGTTTTGAACACACTGTCTATATTTTCATTAATTTTTCATTCATATATGATGATTTTTTTACTTACTGTATAACGAAGTTATGTACAACCCGCATATTTAAATAACTATTAAGAAAATCATATCTAGTATTTAATATTTTATAAGAGAAACCAACATAGTACTACAATCTATATAAATTTGATTTGTTGCCACGTTGAGCTTCTTTTCCAAATTATAATATTGATTAACATAAATGATAGCATAATTAACTTAGTGATTTAGGATTCAAGTCATTTAATATATAGTGTTGAAGGTTTACTTGTGATTTGAAGGACTTGGGTCACTTATGAATCACTTCATCAAAATTAAAATTTATCCTGTAAAAGGAGTATAGATGAAGTTGATCATATGGTGAGATTGATGTAGCAATACTATAATTAAAATATTGCATGTGAGAAAGAAGATAATTGTCCATCATAAAATATAGTTTACCTAAACATCATCAAAGTTTAAATGGAATTTATATTTATTATATACGAAGATGGACAAATTTTTTATTATTATGCTTAAAACGAAAATTGAAATGTAAAACATTTTTTTTCCTTTTTTTTTTTTCTGATAATTGGACTACATTCTAAATATTCCTGTTTTTTCTGCTAAAATTTACGTGCCACGTGAACATGAAAGCCGTATCTTACACCAACGTTTCTTCCTTTTCCGTGAGTTCCAACCGCTCTTGTAGAACATCAACCTTTTCCTCTTACGACCGCTTCCAATCAAAGCTCACACGTGTCTTCCTTCTCACCGTTCCGAAAAATGATCTCATCCACGATGCCCAATTTCGTAATCCCAATGCAAAAACCAAATCTAAGTATCTATCCCACTCTCACTCCATGTGACTCATTGCTTCCTTCACTCTCACTGCCCCTTTTTTTTGTCAACTTCAATTGGAGACAAGAAAAAAGGAAAAAAAAATCTCAACTTGCATGATATTTTCTTCCCTTTATTCAGTCATTCACATACTCCAGAGCCTTTTCTATCTCCGCCTCTTTCCATTTAAAGTGTCTCAATTTCACTTATGGTATCATTTAGCATCATATCTCTTGATTCCCTTTTGTGGCTTAGCAATAACACTCCTTGAAATATCTCCCCATATGCTTCCACGTCCTGATTTTGTTTTTGCTTATTATCTATTGTTTTTCCACTTGCACACTTCTTCAATTCTCAATCTTGATTGATAGAGAGAGAGGTGGTTACATTGCTTGAAGTTGGAAGAGGTAATTGTTCTCTTACTTGGGGGATTTTGGTTTATGATTAGTTTGATTGGTATTAAATAAAAGTTTATATTTTGTGACAATTTGGTAAGTGATTAGCGAAAAAAACAACTCCTCTTTTTGGTGACAGGTAAGGAATTAGATATGGATGCTAAATTAGAGGCTAATGGTGGTAGTGGTAAGGTTGGTGTGTCCTCAGTTTCTACCAAGATTCCAGCAGTAGCACACCCATTGGCTGAGAAGCCTGATGAGGTTGCATCCAATATTAGTTACCATGCTCAGTTCAGTCCTCATTTTTCTCCTTTCAAGTTTGAGCTGGAACAAGCTTACTATGCCACTGCAGAGAGTGTTCGTGATCGTCTCATTCGGGTATGATCATATATTTCTTGGAATTGGGATGTCTACAGTTTAATTGTGAGTGAAGAGTGTTTTGTTTGTAAACGTTTGCACGTAAGTATGAATGTGTTTCACTTTCATGTTATAGTTATAATGATGATTATAGTTATATTATAATGTGTTTCTCAATAGCAATCGACTTCTAGTAAAATGAGTTCTTGAGAGAGATTTAGGACCAAAAATTGGTCATGCCAACTAGCGGAGTATTTCAGTGTATATGGAAGTGTGTACACGTGTGTGCATGTATGAAGTAGTGAAGCTTTTCATGAGCATGAATCTTGTCATCTCAGATTTTAACATGATAAGGTTGTGCACGAGGGAGGATCCATTCTTACCTTTTTATACTTCTGCATGGGACAGTTCAATTCAGTTGTTTGAATCGAACTGAAATTTGGACAGATTTATAAGTGCTGATTGGTATTTGTAAGCAAGTGGCAAGTTGCGAATCATCTCTTTGCAAACTATTCTGGTATTAAACTACATAAATAAAGGGTAGTTAAATTAAGCTAAATAATAAATGTTTTTAGAATTTTGTAAATAGTTTATTTTCTCCTTACTACTGATTTAAGTCCTAGGTGGTATATTAAAATTGTTTTTATGGATAGGACTAATGCTGTTGTTGTACATTCATGATACCATTTCAGCAATGGAATGAAACATACCTTCATTTTCACAAAGTTGATCCCAAGCAAACTTACTACTTATCTATGGAGTTCCTTCAAGGTCGAGCTTTGACCAATGCCATTGGAAATCTGAACATCCAAGATGCATACGCTAATGCTTTGCGCAAATTTGGACTTGAACTCGAAGAAATAACAGAGCAGGTAATAAAACATTTAATGAAAGAACACAAACCTATTTTGTTCTATGCTAAAATTCAATTTTATGAAAAAGAATTGTTGAACTTATCATATCACTACTTTATCATGCATAGAGACTTTAGATCATGGTCAAAACTAACTCACCTTAATTCTTAAGCTATTAGATGGTGGTACATGAATGGTTTACATTTCTAACTCCAAGAATTTGAGGAAGGATGGTTTGTCTGTGCTTTTTATCTCAGGAAATATTTCAACCAATGTAAAATCTTGCAAATTCAAAGCAAGCTTTCCGTCCTAAAATGTTCAAAAAGAAAAAGAATGTTAGATATGATAATAGTGTAATGAGTACTGAGTAATATTATGTATGCTATATTATCATTGTCAAATTATGTTATTGATAGCTACCTTGTGAGGAGATTCATCCCAAATGTGTGACCTGAATTCTACTTATGGAATAGTTTTGATAAAATCAACATCCATTTTCAGAATGAAAGCATCTTTCCAAAGTATGCATTCTTTCACATCTCTGATTGATGTTAAATATATTATATAAAAATTGTTTGCTGGACCATTCAACATGAAACTTTGCAGGAGAAGGATGCAGCACTAGGAAATGGTGGTCTTGGTAGACTTGCTTCTTGCTTTCTGGATTCCATGGCAACACTTAATTTGCCTGCTTGGGGGTATGGTTTGAGATATAGATACGGGCTATTTAAGCAGAGAATCACCGGGGAAGGTCAGGAGGAAGTTGCAGAGGATTGGCTTGAGGTTTGATTTATCTCCTTTATTTTAAATCTATGGAATTGTATCACATATTTTATGGGATACTGATGTGCAAAATCAAATTAAAACCAAACAGAAGTTTAGCCCCTGGGAAGTTGTGAGGCATGACATTCTTTACCCTGTCAGATTCTTTGGTCAGGTTGAGGTTAATCCTAATGGAAGGTACGTGTAAATATACTGATTTCCTTTATAAAATCTGTTTTAGGCTGTTGATTAATGACCATCTATGATGGTGAAAATTTTAACATAATCCTTTTCCCTTTTAATCTTAATTTAAATGTAAAAACAATTATATCCAGATACAGGGATATGTAAGTACTTACAATTTGGTGTTTATACCAGCCGAAAATGGGTTGAAGGAGAGGTTGTGCAAGCACTGGCTTATGATGTCCCAATTCCAGGTTACCAAACCAAGAACACCATAAGTCTCCGCCTCTGGGAGGCAAAAGCAAGTGCTGAAGATTTCAATTTATTTTTATTTAATGATGGGCAACATGATGCTGCTTCAGTGCTTCACTCACGAGCTCAACAGGTTGGCATCTGTGAATTTTCATTACTGTTAAAGAGTAACTAGGTTGCTGCCACCAACATGATTGTAAGTGGCTTGCTATACAAAATAGGGAAAAAGTTGGTGGCTGGCAATGACGTGACTGTATTATTTGTTGTTAATCAATAGTTGTGCTTCTAACTGAAAAGTTTCTGTTACAGTAATAAGAATGAAATGCAAACAAATCTTGCTGAAGTTAGTTATTTTGTCAACCCCCATAATCCCCTTCCCTTGTCCTTGGGCTCTGTAGAAAAGAAGCATACAAAAAATTCTGTGAAGCAGTTCTAAATTAAAATTTGTATTTGTAGATTTGTGCAGTTTTGTACCCTGGGGATACCACAGAAGGTGGAAAACTTCTACGTTTGAAGCAACAGTTCTTTCTCTGCAGTGCATCACTCCAAGTAAGCCAAATCCACTTGACAATTTTCCTTTTCATACTAAGTGTTCCTTACAGTATCGTACTAATTTTCTTTGTGCTCATTCATAATAAGAAGCTAGGATTGCAACTTTCAGCTGTGGTGGGTGGTGGTAGGTGTGTAATGTTGATTTGATGTTATCTTTACTCAAAAGTATAGATTGCCATCATTTTTAAGTTTGAAGATCACTATCCCCTCTCAGTAAATTGAGTAACAAACAAAATATTATAGTTTCTGTTTGGACTTATCTTGATGAATGCCTTTGGTGACAATCCTTTCTTTTTTATAGATTTCATGGCATGGATATTCTCACATGAGAATCAATTAGGACCATCTTTAGATGATTTTTGTCAAATACCTAGAAATTTGCTCAACTCTTTTGTTTGACATCCTTTCCTTACTATTGTCCACTCCTATCTCGGAAAAATTAAAGGACATAATATCCAGATTTAAGGAGAGGAGACAAGGACCTTGGAACTGGTCAGAGTTCCCAACAAAGGTTGCTGTTCAGTTGAATGATACTCACCCAACACTTGTAATACCAGAGTTGATGCGATTACTAATGGATGATGAAGGACTTGGATGGGATGAAGCATGGGATGTGACATCAAGGTCAGTAATTTGTACAAAATGTTGTTTGAAATGTTCATCTTCCATCTTCTCTGTTACACCACCTCTCACAATTGTAGTGTATTACTGTATACCTCACTGCTAAAATGTGATGCTATATCTTAACTAGGACTGTTGCTTACACCAATCATACTGTCCTCCCTGAAGCACTGGAGAAATGGTCTCAACCTGTGATGTGGAAACTTCTTCCACGCCATATGGAAATCATACAAGAGATAGACAAGAGAGTAAGATGTTCCCCTTCCATGTTTCACTTGGATTAACTTCATGAAAGGTACACTGATATATTTTAATGTGGAAACCATGAAATGCTTGCAGTTTACTGCAATGATAAATACAACTCGATTGGATCTTGAGAGTGAGCTATCCACCATGTGCATCTTGGATGATAATCCCCAAAAGCCAGTAGTTCGGATGGCAAACTTGTGTGTGGTTTCTTCTCATGCGGTAAGTGGTACACTTTTTGAAACTCAATAAAAGAAGAGTGTCATCTATCTTACCATGTTCTTGTTTTTTATCATCTTATATCTTCAAAGTGTTCCAATATTGGTTTAGGAAA